TGTAATGTGTGTGTGTGTGCGCGCACGCGCACTTGTGCATATGTAAGGATTTTGTGGTAACTTTGTTCTGTGTCTAGACAATGGGTTTGAAATGGATGATGGGGATGAGGAAGAGGATGAGGAGGAAGAAGAGGAGCTGAGCCAGGCAGAGCAACAGAGGAGGAAAGAACGAGCAGAGAGGGAGCGCTGGCTTCGCGAACAGGTCTGTATCCCTGGAAACGGCTGGGGTTGCCCCATCATGACAGGATTTCCCCACCCTTCACCCTTTGTGTTCTCCTGTAGTCCGAGGCAGCAGCACAGAGGGGTCTCGGGGACGATGACAATGACGACGAGGAAGAAAATATTGGCCAGGAAGACAGCCAGTTCATGAAGCTGGCGAAGAAGCTGACGGCGAAGAAGCTGTCCCAGACGGGTGAGGAGGCGTCCCCCATAACTCACCACTGACTCCCCCCGTCTGCTTAATTTACTCAGTTTCCCTCTTCTTCTACAGAGGCTCCTATGGCCCCCAAGGAAAAGACTGCCCCCTCTTCTGCTCCCTTCATTATGCAAAATAATGTGGTGAGTACAACTTGTCACTAGATGTCTGCCCCTTCTCCAAAGTGTGTGTATCTGACTGTGGTGTTTGCCTCCCCTTACCAGGTGAGGCGAGGCTCCTTACTCAGCCAGCCTCGGGCCGTCCTGCAAAAGCTGGCCTCCATCTCCGATGCCAATCCCAGTGCCCCACGAAACAGCCGGGGATTCCTCTTCCAAACCCTCTCCCCAGAGAAGGACACCTCTGCAATGGCATGCCCCAAAAAACAGGTAACGTGCCTGTCTAGCCATGTGCTCTGTGTGCTGTTAGTGGCAGGTATCATGAGATTAGTCACACTATATGGACTAAAGTATTGGAGCACCTGGCCGATACACCCACAGGAACTCTTTTGACATCACTTTCGAAATTTATAGGCATCAGTGTGCGGTTGGTTCCCCCTTTGCAGCTGTATCAGCTGCCACTCTTCTGGGAAGGCCTGCCACAAGATTTTGGAGTGTATCTGTGGGAAATTTTGCCCATTCATCCAGAAGAGCATTTGTGAGGTCAGCCACTGATGTTGGACGTGAAGGCCTGCCTCGCAATCTCTATTCTAGTTCATTCCTAAGATGTTAGATGGGGTTGAGGTCAGAGCTCTATGCAGGCCAGTCAAGTTTTTCCAAACCAACCATGTCTTTACAGACCTTCCTTTGTGCACTGGAGCGCAGTCATGCTGGAACAGCAAAGGGCCTTCCCCAAACTGTTCCCACAAAGTTGGGAGCATAGAATTGTGCAATATGTTTTGGTATTGTGAAGCATTAAGAGTTCCCTTCCCTGGAACTATGGGGCCTAGCCCAACCCCTAAAAAACAACTTCATAGTATTATCTCTTCACCAAACTGCATGATGCAGTCAGGCGGGTAACCTTCTCCTGGCATCTGCCAAATGTAAACTCGTCCATCACACTGCCAGACAGAGAAGTGTGACTTGTCACTCCACAGAACACATTTTCACCTCTCCAGAGTTCAGTGGCAGTGTGCTTTACATCACTCCATCTAACGCTTGGCATTGCACTTGATTATGTGAAGCTTGCATGCAGCTGCTCGGCCATGGAAGCCCATTCCATGAAGCTCCCGGCATACAGTTTGTGTGCTGGGGTTAATGCCAGAGGAAGTTTGGAAGTCTGCAGTTACTGAGTCAGCTGAGCCTTGGTGACTTTTACTCAATATGCACCTCAGCACTCGGTGACCCCACTCTGTTACTTTACATGGTCTGACACTTCATGGCTGAGTTTCAATTGTTCCTAGACACTTCCACATTGCAATAATACCACTTACAGTTGACTGCAGAATATCTAGCAGGGAAGAAATTTTCATTAACTGACTTAATGCAAAGGTGGCTTCTTATGACAGTACCCTGCTTAAGTTCACTGAGCTCTGCAGAATGACCCATTCCTTCCCAAATATTTTTAAACCTGACTGCATGGCTTGGTGCTTGATTTTTATAAACCTGTGGCAGTGGGTCTGAATGAAATGCCTGGAGTGTGTCCCAATACTTGTCTGTATAATGTACTTGGTTTCTCTGGGTTTGAGTGTATCAGTAATGAATATCATATTGTTCATGAGGATGATAGCAATGAGACCATTCTTTTGGAAATGTATTAAAGACCAGAACATTATCATTTGTTTTGATGGTTTAACTTTACCGGATTTTGCGCAAGACTTTTGTATAGTGTTCAAAAATGATGGCCTAGGGATTTTCTCATCGTTCCTACTGAAATCTAATTGTGCTTGTGTATGTTTACCTTTATCATGCTGCTTGCGGGGTGTGTGTATGTGTGTGGTGTGTCTAGTTGCTTGTAACTTGACATTTTCACACAGATTTATGAAAATTTCATAGGGAATTGGCATTAGAAAGAGATTGGGTGCTGGTTTTATGTAATGTGTGGAAATGGATCTCAAAATGCTGTAGATTTGCAGGCAAATTATGCTTTGGCTGCAAAGACATGCAGCACAAAATAGAGAAGATCTGATTTGCTGGAATGTGCATGTGCCCTTAAACGTGTGTGGATTTCTTTAGGAAATGTGGTGATGTAACCTTTTAGGTGGAGCTTTCCTTTTGATTAATCAACTGCAAACCTTGCCAGCAGAAGCTGCACTACTCGTTCATTCCAGTAGGTGGAGCCAGAGCCTATATTGTGGCATTGAAACAATCAAACTGGGGATTCACAATTTCTGTCTAGGAGGGCACTGTTCAGCCTTGCTGTGCTTGGGTCTGGTCACAAGGCTTCTGTGTGCTGTGAAAATGCTGTGGCACGTTGCATATAAAACACATTTTCAGCTTTGCTAGAGAACAGCATCAGTACATGTAATTTGAATTTGGGTGAAAATTTTGATTTTGATGATTTTTGTGAAGTGGTGTCTTATGCTGTGCTGTTGATTACAGAGGTAATGGTACATTTTCTTAATAAATGGGTCTTTCTGAATATTGTATTGTTAATCCTTAAACCATGGTTAACGCCAGTCTCCTACTGGGCAGGTGACGAAGAGAAGCCAAGCAGAGTCTTTGGCTCCCGCAGCCAAGCGGCCATGCCTGGGACCCATGCAGCCTCCTTCGGGGCTTCCCAAGAGCATCTTCAGCTACCTGGAGCGCTGAGAGGAGCTCCAGGGCCACGGTGTCCCACCTCGGCGATGCTAATCTTTCTACAGGCCTCCCTCCTGTGTACGTTATTCCCCAACCTCAGCTGGGTCACCAGTGCTTATTGTGTAATGCACAAACTCGGCCTATAATTATGTAAATACAAGGTATCGGTGTGTCTTTTTATTGATTCCCTTTTAAGATGTAAATTAAAAAGTGTTTAAGTATGATTGCTTCTGAGTTTGTGTCCCTCGTTGACCAATCATCCTGCAGAGTGTGTGAGAGAGAGAGGGAGTGTGTGCACACAGGGGGCTTGTTTCAAACACTACACTGCAGTATATTTACCCCTTAATTTTTGGCTGCTAGCTTGAGGTCCAGGAGGGGTCCTCCTGTACCCCTGAATGAAGTACTTGGAAACTACTGCAGTTTGTATCTGCCAAGTATGTAAACAACTACTGGCTTGCAGAAGCTCACCAGAGCCTCCTGCTGTAGTTGCTTTCAAAACTTCATATGTTATGCCTGGCATTACGAGCTTATCCAACAGCAGGGCTGCCCCGAAGTAGTGTGAACTTATTGGAATTTAAATTCGTTAACTGCTTCAATGCTATCTAACTTACCATTCATGAGATATTTTAAGTTGTTTGGATTTTAGGGAAAATGACACGTACTGTTCTCATACCCGTGACTGTATAAACAGTTCCCTAAAATCCAAGGTCAATAGATCAGTCCACCAACATTTTGCCTATAACTAAAGTATCCTAAATCCAGTTGTAACTAATGTATGTTATATAATATGCTTCTTAACTTTTTCTGCACAAGCAAATATTTACTTTATGAAACTTTGCAATTGTTAAGTTTAAAGCTTGCTGGAAAAATCCACATGCTACCAGCCCTGGGCTTATGTGACAAACGCTATGTCCATTTTGTGAAAGGTAGATACAATGCCCATGCATACCGTTTCTGGAACATTCTGTCAGTGTGAGGTTTCGGGTGTAATGGAGCTGAAGACGGACTGCAGTCACACACACTTGCGATGGAGTGCACTTCTCAAAACCAGCCAGGCCCGAACCCCAATAATCATTAGTATTGTCATGCTTAAATTCTTGTAAGTCGCCATCTTTCAGCCTTGTCTATATCTGGTGTCCTTTCTATAGTCACATTTTCTATCCGTCTGACCTCCAACTATCATATGTGTTGCCGCTGTCCTCGTTTCTCTGCACCCGCTCCCTTTCAGCTTTGGTAGATGGAGATGATTTTGCATGTGATGGAGCCCCCGGCGAGCACCGTGTTTGATGTATTTTTCATGTGTACAGGCTGCTGTTGAACTGCGGGGGGAAGGGAGGTGTGTCGGGGACAGCTTCGGGGTACGGCATTTGAATTACTATGTTGTTGGGAGTGAAGTGAGGAGAGGGGCTGGAGAGCGTGTTGCGGTTTAGCCAGCAGCGGTGGCTTGTCATGGGATTTTAGAAGGGGGGGGATGGCGTACTTTTGTCTGCAGTTTGTCTGATGTCACCCCAACCCCCCTGTTCCCACGAGACACAAATAGACACGTACGATAAACACCCAGTAAGACAGAAAAATGGCAAGTTGAAATTCAAATGAAGATTGAAGGAAAAAGCAACCTTTTGCAAATAATAAGTCTCACAGATAAACCCTACTGATATACACAACTGGGTTTCACAATTCATCTACAGAAATGCTGTATTTGCACAGCTAAGATTTACAGACGGGAAGTGATGAACCTTACATTTTTTTTTGTAAAATCAAAGCTGTTAAATCGCCACAAAGTCGGCTAAAAAGAAAACTGCAAAGGAATGCGGGCGTCGGCTGCACTACGGAGCTGAGATAAGGGCGGACCGCTTGTTGTCGGCCGCTATTTGCTGCGCTTATCGTTAGCGCGGCCGGGGCTGCCGCACAGCTCGCTTCCCGTCCGGTGGTCCTCTCCCAGATTAGGAAGTGAATCACACGGGGGAGAGAGAGGAGGGAGGTCCGTAGCAAGATAAACATCGCCGAGCTGGGTTTGTCGGAGGAGGAGAGAAACAGGGAGGCCGCTGTCTCTTTTTTTTTACAAGAACCTTAAGAAATTAAGATGAGGTAAGATGATAGACCCTGTTTTCGGGTATCGGTGAATTATATAATCAGGATATAAAGCAATGCGAATGCTTACTCTCCGCTTGGCTATGTGTGGTGCATCGTGGCATTTTGGTCCAGCGAGAAGAGGTGTGATATGGGGTGAGATTGAGAGTACCTCTTACTTATTATGTAACGAGTTCTCGGAAAAATCAGGTCGCTCCATGTTATACATATGTTCTCTTTTTTTTAGTTTGCTTGTGCTGAGGATGTAGCAATTCTTTCTCAAGCTGGGCATGAGAAACGAGAGTATAATCACATTAGATCATCATTGGTATTCCAAATGTACATTTTTTGCTTTCTGCTATTTTGAATAAATTGCGTTGGGCCTTATCGAAGACACGTAGCAACTCCGAGGAACGGATGTATCAGAAAGTATCATATGAACCGACATCACTGAGACGCAGTTCGACCGTTTGCAAATTCGCTACAGCCGTAATGATTCAACGTATTAAAACCTCCTACACGCCGTGCGGCGTTTCGTTATCCTTCAACGCATCAGCTAACATGCCAAAGTACGGCGATCGGTTTTGCATTTTGCGCTCGTTTGAATGACGGCGTGAAGGACGGGCGCGCCCGTCTGGCCGGTGGAGCGTGCCGCTGTCCTTCAGCACCGGGGGAGTGCGCGCCAATGGGCGCGACGGCGCTTCCCGGGATCTCCGCGGCGTCTGCTCACGCGCTGGCTGCTCTGACGTAACGCCACTGCGGCTGTTGACTAAAACGCATGGAAACAACATAAAACTATTAAACTCGACTCAGGTTAGAGTCAAATAATGTGTAAAAATGGCCCCTGGCTTTCGGTTTTCGCTTCAGTTGGTGATTGTTTTTTCACTGAGTAATATATTATAAACTGAAACATTTTTGATCAAATAGGACCTAAAGTCAACCTACAAATAATATACTGTACTTTACAGATCAAACTTTTTTATTAATATTATTTTACTGTTTTTCACTTCTGTCTTGGTTTCTCTTCAACAGTACCACAGAGTCTTATTATAGCAAAAACGTGTTGGAAGTTCAACATGGCTGCCCTCTGAACTCTGTCCTTGGAGGTCAAGGGGCAGGGGGTGGGTCGTCTCTTCGTCTTCATGGCAATGGCCAGCACCCAGAGAAATTTGAGAAAGATAGCAACTTTAATTTCCTGGGGCATGAGGATGAACTGCTCACTGGGGACGAAAACCGCAACCAGCTGCGTCTGCGTCTGCAGAACCTGCAGGGGCGTGAGCCGCTCCTCCAGTCTGCGCATTTTGGGCCCATGTCTCCGCTCTCCCGCCTGCCTTCCTGGAGCCCGCTGGAGCCCCTGCCTGAAATCGAGGTCGCAGAAGAGGCCTGTGGCCGTGTGCCCCCGGAAGGCGCGGAGGGCAAGATGGAGGAGGAGGGAAATTTAAAGGAGGAGGAAGAAGTGGAGGACAGCAAAGAGGAGGGTGAAGAGGAGGAAGAAGAGGAGGACTGGGAGGAGAGTGACTCAGAATTTGAGTTCAGCTACCGCTCCAGCAGTAGCAGCAGCAGCTCGCTGAACATGATGGGTAAGGATGGATCAGGCAGGCCTGAGTCCGGCTGGAGAGGTGTCCCCCCAGGGGGGGGACGGGGGCAGGAGCCACCAGAAGGGGGCAGTGTGACAAGTTTACAGGGCAGGGTTGGAGATGGCCAGAGCATCATGGAAATGAAGAACCCCCAGAGCGAGGGAGGCTCCTCGGATTCTGACACAGACACCTGTCCCGAACTGCACGAGCTGATGGAGGCCATGTGGACCCTTCGGGACCAGGAGAGGTTCAAGGCCCAGGAGATGGAGAGACACCAGGTGCAGCTGACCATGTACCGGCGCCTGGCGCTGATCCGCTGGGTCCGCTCCCTGCAGGGCCGGGTGCAGGAGCAGCAGGACCGCCTGCAGTCCAGCTTCGACGTTATCCTCACACACAGAAAGGAGCTGCTGAGGATGGGCGCAGGCATGGCCATGCCCACCACCGCCACCGTCAGCCAATCGTAAAGCAGAGGAAGGGGCAGGATCTCCAACTAGCTCTGAGGAGGGTCACATACTTTGTGTAACAGCGGTGGAAGTGGATAAACGGGAGCCTTCAAAGTACTGAGCTCTGTTAGACGTCCTTAAAGTCACACCGACTGTTAAAGGGGGCTTCTCAAGTAGATGTCCCCAAATGCTTTAAACCCTAATATCACCTTGTCAAAATTTCTCAGCCAAGTTTTCATTTTTTAATCTTTTGGTGCTCTATCAAGACCATGACCTGAGATTTCAGAGCCCTGTGTCTTCACACCAACCACAACAAGCTTTTGTTTCACTTTAGTGTAATTCTTCCATTAAGCGCTGCTCAGCCTCATTTTCTTGTACAGAAATATATATATCTATATAATAAAAGTAGTCTAATTGTGTGTGTGTGTGTGTGTGTGTGTGTGTGCGTGCGTGCACCCTGCAGTGAACTTCCATCTCGTGCAGCGGATTCCCCAGTCTTTGTCTCTGTGCTGCAGTCCAAAACTGCAACCCACAGCATAGGAGAAGCGGTTTGTGGATGGATGGATGGATGGGTGGATGGGTGGGTGCAAAAGCAATCTATTAAATGTATAATTTGTATCAATATCTATATATGTTTGAAGAGCATTCTATGCATAAAAAAATCTATCTGTGGTGTAATAAACATATTAAGATGTTTTTTTCTGTGTCTGTTGTACCATTCTGTGTATATGAGTGCCTGTGACTTTTTTGTGGGATTTTTTGAGAAATATACAAACCTCCAAAATCATTTTTTAAATATTCACAAAATACCTCTACATCTGCCACTGCATCTGAGTCTCGTAAGGCAAACCTGGGAGGCTTCTTTGCCCGCAGAAAATGAGTAATAAAACATGGCTGTGGGTATAACTCTTCTCATTCTCTAATAGAATTAAGCAGTTTGATATTGTAACTCACGGTTAGCAACAGATCTGTGAAACGTGATTTAAAGGCACCGTTTATATATTTTTTATAATGATCCACCCTCCACCCCCGAGGCTCACATTCATCACGAGGTTGTGTGTTTTCAAGTGCAGGTCTACTCGCTGCACAGTGATCTTCCGTCTAGGTGAAAATTGTTGCCAATCTGAAGTAGGCTTACTGCTTAAATAACGGTAATGAGCTCCTGGGTTGCTGCGGCTATAATCGTTTGTCTATCTGCGGCACAGAGCTCGTTTGTATAGTTATCGTCACACGGTGATGAGGAGGAGGCGGAATGGGTGGGGGAGCGGTGGCAGAAGTCCGGGAGAGTGTGCGCGCTTAATTTCAGCGCCTGGGGCGCGGGGCTGCTCGCCGGCCCGTGTGCATGTTCACTGAGATACCGGCGTTCACAGGCTAATCCGCACTTTGAGTTTGTCTGCAGGGGCAGGGGCGCCAGTAGGCCGGGTCCCCGGGGTATTCCGACAGCCGGCGCCCCAGGGCCTCGCAGCGCAGCCGACCCAACACACAGTCGCGAGTCCAGCCGTTCTGAGGAGCCAAAGAGCCCTGGGCAAGTTTGGATAATCCCCGCTTGTGGCTGCTAACCCGGAGTAGATCTCGGCTTATCTTTGCTTATGGACGCGTGTGATGGCAGGAGTGTCATGCAGAGTGAATATATTGATCCTATTTTTGCAATACGAATACTAAGCCTGAAATCAGCCCGGGCGTAGGAAACAAATTATTATAGCCTATTTTGACTGTCACTGAATCTTTTTTCTTAAAAAAGTTTATTTCTTACGATTACCGAGTCAAAGTAGCCTTATTATGGTGTGACACCACTTACAATAGCACAGTGATGGCCGAGGCGTCACCTCCCTGTATTTAAACGTTAATCATCGTAGCCCTTAGACCGGCGTCCCGTGTATTGTGCATGTCATCTCGTCCCATGCCATCTCCTGATTACCAAGGTTCACTATTCCACAGCTGGAATGAACTTATTCACAATAACTTAGCCATAAGTGCTTGGGGATAAAGGAGGGCTGTATGGACTTTGTATTTTAGGAACGTCTTTTTAATTTTCTGGCATATGTTTTTTTTCCTTTGATCCCGATGCGCATCCTCACCTCGTGTGCATCCCGCGGTTCAGCGGCACTGTGTAATGCACGCGACGGGGCGACCTGCGAGTCACGCGGCTAAGTGCGAGGGGGACCCTGCTGGGCGCGAATCACTGCGACGGATTCACAGCCGCACAGCCGGGGGAGACACGCATGCACTGACAAGGAATGCGGTACGTGCCGCTGTCTGCCCCCGCTCAAGCCGAACCGCTAATTTAGTCGTTAAAATCAGGGGAAGGAAATTAGTTTAGCACCATATTTTAACGTTTTCTGTGAAACGGTAGCTGTCAGGAAAGAGCCGCGAGGTGCACACAGCTGTAGATGCTTAGATCTCATGCTAATTTGTGTCTGAGACCTAGATATGAAGACTACGACTGTCAGCCGTCTATCATTGTCCCGCATCATATAGTATTACTGTCCGACTGTCGTGTAAAAGGCACAATGAATTATCTTGGGCCAGTAGAGGGCGTCACGTTGCCACGATTGTTGGCGATGAAGAAGTGGGTGCAGTTACGAAACAGGGACACCAGAGGGCATTAAGAACCGGTCAGGGCGTTCTGAAGAGTGCAGGGTTTCTTTCTAACTATAACCTACTTTTCATAGCTTACATAGTTTTCAGAAATCCTCATGGAACAGCAATTTAAAACGTGAATATGGGAGGGTTTAATTTAGATTCTTACATTATTTAGTACTTGTAGGCATACTATGGATTTCCAATGACAGAATAGTTACTTCACTTGTCCCAGCTGATAAACACACTCAGATACTGACTCTCATCCCACTTACAGTGCCAGTATGACCTGTGTTCTGTCCTCCTGCTTGCATCCATAGAAGTCGCTGATTTTTGCTCTATGACAATGAAAGTGCCCCCTCCTCTGATGGGGCGTGACAGTGCAGACTGTGGTGGCCCCTCCAGCATTCTGTTGGTATGGAAACAATCGTCTTTGACATAAAAGAGGCGGTGAGGGGCTAACAAAAAATGGGTGTGTGTAGGGGGGGGGGGTGCAGGGTGGTCCCTGTGGGGCAGGGATGGCCTCCGGCCTCCGTATGATAAACCGGATAGAAAGACCTGGTCATCAGAAAAGGAGAGGAAGAAAAGCACGATAACAAGGAAGCAAAAGGCGAGAAGATGGAGTACTCCTTATGTTTTCAAAGACGAAGAATAACAACAACAACAAAAAGTCGATAATATGAACCAGACTGTATCATAATCATTTCACCAAATCTCACTGTTTGCGCACAACAGGGGCAACACGGAAGGTGCTGCATTAACAGCGCGGATTCTGCTGCCATGTAAAGTTTTGGTTCATATTTTCTGGTTCTTATGTTCAAATGCAGAATTATGCTACATTAGTCCTGTTGGATTAAATAATCTGAAGTTAACAATAAAATGTCTTTGGGGTCTGACAGGGTACCCTGGTCTGTTTGCACTATGCTGGTAGTTTGCCCCCCCCCCGGCATTCAGTGACCATTGTTCAGGACCAAAGTTTAACACTTTCAGGTAATCCTATTTTTATCATTCAATGAGAACAAGGTGAGAAAGGATTCTATCCTTGTTCATTCGTGGTTTCTGTTCAAATGTCCACTCTACCATTCTGCTGGCTTCTTAGGAGATTTAAGTTGGTACAGGGATGACAGAAAAAAACAACGATGACATCCACAATAATCAAAAACAAAACGCAAAATATTTTTTCATATGTTTCACGTTTTAGTTTCTTAGCTAAAAAATGTTCTCCCTTGCCTTTTTGTTTTCTGAAATGCAGATGTTTCCGTTCTGGAAACCAATAGTTCTTATTTTTATAATTATTGCCCTTATTACTTATTCTTTGCGTCGTCAGAATTATGACATGAAGACGGGCCTAAGAAAAAAGGAAATCCAGTAATTAAATAAATGGGTCAGAACCAGGATGATGGAGCGAAATGAGCAGAATTTTAGTTACATTTCGATTATGTTTATTTCCCTGTTTGACCTCTCGTCCTTTACTAATCATCAATACGACAGGCAAGTAAATACTTTTGAAATACTGGCGTGATTACATTAAGGTAAATAACAGGTCATTTCTCAATTATTTACGCTCAAGTATAAATAAGACATTTCGTGTATTTCGTTTTTAATTTAGCTATGCCTTCCAAGCCTGCTCCGTCATACTTTGAGCTGCAAACCGCCCGAGTCTGGTTCAGCCTGAGACGCTCCTATCCGCATATATAACTCATTATTAACGTGACGATGTGCTTCAGCGTGAAGGTTCGCGGTCTTGGGGAGTCGGGGTGACGGAGCCTGTTGGTCGGGGCGGGTTCAGCTGCCTCGTCTGCTTTAACCAGCTAATAAATATGAAAACAGCCGGTTTAAACTTTTATTCGTTCACTGCCTGAAAGGATTATACTACTCTATAGAGTCCCATGTAAATCCTGAAACCTCATAATGCCCAATGTTGTCTCATAAAACTGTGTCGGACAATAGCGGAAAAAAGGGAGCTTTTTCACGCATAAAAGGTTTTCACAAGAGCGCTTTGAGAGCAGGCTGGCCGTGCCACGCCCCTGGATTATCCGGCTGCCGGTGAAAGCGCGGTGCGGGGAGGCAGGTGCGTGTGCCAGGCACGGGGGTCGCGGGGCCGCCCAAGGTTGGGGAGCGGCCTGTATCGAATGCGCGCAGCTGCCGGCAGGAATTTGTTCAGGGTTTGTCACTTCCATTTGTTTTGCTCATTTTCACCCCTTCAGATGAAGTGATCTCTCGTGCATAGGTTCCCTCGACACCCCTTACCAGTTTAGGGAAGTAAAGTGCCGCTAAACGGTGACACCAGGAAGACAAAAAGTAAAAGGGGGGCGCAGTCCTATCCAGTCTCAACACCATGAAATCGCACATTAGACCGAGAAGGCGACGGCTAATACCGCTCTCTACCATTTTATATACGAGTGAAAATCAATTGCTCAAATCCGAGCCCATTGTACGAACTACCCAAGTTAACACTCGCAGCCAATTCTCCTGAGTTTCCGGCATTGTTCGCTCGCTAAGTAAAACTCATATGGCTTAAATTATTTTCTTAGCTTTACATTGTACCGACAGATTTACTTTGTATCCAAATGTTTAATTCATGAATGGAGCAACTTTTTTAATGCATACATATATAAAGGTTGCTCGCGCCTGATAAAGAGTGGGCTTTAGTATAGCCTGAGGTTGTGACAGCCCCAAACCCCTCGCAGCATCACCTCAATCCCTAATCGCAGCAGCTCAAGATCAGTCTCCCGCTCGAATTACTGTACCCCAAGGCGATGGTTCCGTAATCCATCGGCGAATTCAGACCCAAATCCCAGTGGGCTCTGGCAGAAAGGAGAGTGCCTGCTATGGCGTGGTATTGTTCAGATGGACGGTTCCGCGCAAAAGCACCGATTCCCTCTCGTTTGACACAATGTATCTTGCGTCCGGTGCCCTTACCTGTGAGGCCAGTTAAAGCAGAAGACTGCAAATATTTCAGCACCTGTTGGTTTTCCCGTTAATAATCTACTTCATCCCCGCAGAACCTCTTAGCATTGTACAAGCAGCCGTTTGAAGGGGCACACCCTATATTTGCTTCTTTCTGATTTATTTTTATGCGTGTGGAGCTCTGCAATTCATTGTTCACTTTTTTCCGAATAACGGTTTGCTCAGCTTTACATCTAATGATACGGGTGGATCATTCAAGAGTCTTATTCTGGTTAAACACGGTATAAAACCGGATAGTGCAGATTGTGGAGTAGCTTACATTTTTGTGTAAGAATAAGTAGGCCTATGGGATATTCTTTTTTTTTTCATATTATTGCAGCAGTGGAATATGTCTTCTTTCGACTCGTTCATATATTCTCTCATTTGGTTTTTATAATTACTTTATTTTCAATAAACTCCACAAAAAAAAAAAAATGAGAAGCATAGTAAGAAGTATAGTAAGTCTTCAACCACGTCTGTTTCAACCGAAATATCTCCTCCCTGTCTCAGTCAAGACGGACACAAGGGAATGCCGTCGACCAAGTCGTCCAAGTAAGTTAATTTAACTTTTCTCCAGTTCAAATTTAAATCGTGCAGAGGTGAAATGCACAGAACAGTTTGAGTGGGAAGCTCAACTTCCAGGCAGTAGGTGGCCATTGTGAACCGGAAACCAACATACGGACAGGCTGTCACACACGGCAATATCGGGTGGCTGAGGAAACGGCAGCGACGAAGCAATATATAGATCTTCTCAGGTGATAGGGCGAGAGGTGTGGGTGTGCCACAGCACTCCAGTCTGTCTGACTGTCACTGCATTAGCAGCCTGGCTTCCAAGGCCCAGCGGCCGTTCCTGTGTGTGCCTGTGATAAAAGGCGAAGAGAGGAAGTGAACAGCGTGTGGCGGCTGGTAGAGGGCGGGGGGTAAGAGAGGGGGGCGGCTGATTGGGCGGAACGATTATGTGGGGAGAAACCCCCCCAGTGCTGAGTGCTTCCTCATTGTCAGTGTTTCTGCAGCATATCCCCGCCGGGCTCCCTCTCCCTCTCTTTCTCTCCTTTTTCTTCCTCTCTTCCCTCTCTCTCCATGAACAGATGAGGAGAGGGTCTTGGCAGGGTAATTAAGAATGGCCTCTAAACACGGGAGTATGACAGGAGCGCTCCAGATGAAAGTAAATGATTAAAATAATTACAAGCCCAGAGCTGACGAGCTGGTGCATAGGGTGGCCGGCGGACATTCGTCGGTAATTAGTTAATTAATCTGAATGCAAATTATGAGCCCTAACGAAGCAGTCAGGCGGTAACTTCCATGAAAGAGGAAAAGTGAGAAAGACCCAGAGAAAGGGGGGGAAATCAGAGTACTAAAATAAGCATAAAATAATCACTCCACCATCCACACATTAAACGCAACATTTTACATTTTTTGGTCCCGTATTACATTTTACAACAAGAGAAGCACCCTGTGTGTGTGTCTGTGTGTTTGTGTACTTCATATGTATACTCTGAGTGTATACTTCATGTGTGTACTGTGTGTGTGTGTGTGTGTGTGTACTTTGTGTGTATACTTCATGTGTATACTCCATCTGTGCACTCTGAGTATACACTTCATGTGTGTACTCTGTGTGTGTACTTTGTGTGTATACTCATTGTGTATACTCTGAGTGTATACTTCATGTGTGTTCTCTATGTCTGTGCTCCATGTGTGTGTTCTGTGTGCAAACTCTGTATGTGTACTCTGTGTGTGTAATCTGTGTGTATACTCCATGTGTATATTCTGTGTGTGTACTCTGTATGTATGCTATGAGCATATACTCCACGTGTGCGCTCTGTGTAAACTTTGTGTGTATATTCTGTGTGTATGCTCTCAGTGTATAATCCCTGCGTGCACTCTGTGTGTATACTCCATGTGTATACTCCATGTGTATACTCCATGGGTATATTCTACCTTCACACACTCATACACACACTGCTGATGGCAGCAATAGACACACAATAAACAAAATCTGCTAATACAATCCATACGGTACTACACTTCTGAGCTCTATGAAGTGGATCCTCAAAACTCACATAACAAGGAGGGGAAAATAACCGCGAGGAAAATGTAGACAGCAAAATGCAAATAAATAAATATATTTGAGAAATATATTGTGCTGTTTTTCATCTGTGTTTTAGCATCTGGTGTTTATCCTGGATCTCTGCCAGTCTGTCCTCACAGAAGGTCATATGTAATGCAGTGTAAGTATATATTGGACTAGGTGGTGATGTATTAAACTACAATTAGGCAATTTATTTTGACTCTGATTTGCTACAGTGTCATGATAAACTTTGCACTTTAAGTATTATGAAAACCGTTAAAAGACACCAAAATAAATGTTACAGCTAATTGAAGATTTTTTGATAATAAAAACCTCAAATGCTATAAATGTAGCATTCAAGTAACTTTTACAAATATTTTATCAACAAAAATAAATACTGTTAGATGTGTGGATATTTAAATATTAATTCTTTAAAATATGCGTTCTGTAGTATATGTTACTTTGATTTGTTCAATATATAAATACTACACAGGTTTAAATTTCCAAAATACATACAAGGACAGGATGATTTAAAGACATTTTACATTAGTTTTCTTTCAGAACTGTTATTTTTTCCAACAGCAACATAAATGCTAAAATTTCATCCAGCCTGTCTCTCAACCACATTTCCAGTACAGGATCTCGTGGTTGAGGGAGCCTTAAGCTGTGCCCTGAACGGAATGCCAGTCCAGCGCCACGCGCACATGTGAACACACTACGGGCACTTTGCAGTTTGATGTGGCTGCATGACTGCAGGAGGAACTCAGCACAAGAGAGCCTGGAGGTGCGAGGCAAATGTTAAAATATTTAAAAATAAATGTTTCATTCACATATGAGTGAAAAATATGGGGAATTTATATTTTTGCAGTGCTAAAAAATGCTAAAAGTCATATGAAACATGAAACTCATCTTAAATCAAGCTGATATACATATTCCTATATATATGGGAGATGGACAAGTGAGTCTGTATCAGCTGTCAAAGGGGACTGAGAGTTACTGCTTTGATATGCGAGTTTTCTAAGCAGTAACAGTAACATGAGGTAGCTAAGAGAATCCAACTCCTCAGTGCAATCATAGCCCAATTGCTGCATCTCATAAGCTCTCACAGAAAATCCCTAAATCTCCCAGTGAGTGCATGGCTTTGCATCGTCCTGTCTTATGTGTCTATGTCAATCTGCTTGGTCTTACAACGTCATGTCTTGCCTGTGCTACCTGCCATGTCTTATTTGTCCATCTGTGTCCCATTATGTCATAATGGGGGGTGGGCAGGGGGTGGGTTGATTTGGAGTGGCTTCACTTAATGTATTGATCTATTGTTCAGCTAATTAAAAATAAAGTTGTCCTCCGAAGAAGGAAAAAAAAAAACCTAAGAACTCAAGAGAAGCCAAATATTCAGCAGATGGGTTTCCAGTTGGTGAATGCCAAAGGATGCCTTCAGCCTACAATGTCTGTCAACATGGGCAACCACCTCTAGCTAGTCCGTTGGGTCTGATGGAGGAGCTACGTGTTCTGACAACATCCAAGGAACATGACACCATTTCACAAGAACAGCTACATTCTATGGTGTAAACACCATTTCCTCATGCAGTTCCTATATTCCAAAAGATGATAATGGTACATCCATGGCCTCCCCAGTCACTGGATAAAAGCACCATTGAGCTTTCGTAGGAATGCACTAGAATTCCAGCTAATTCATCTTTTCTTGTTTAAGAATACCTCACTACACACAGTCCAGGGTCCACATGACAGCAAGGTCTACTGAAGCTGTCCTTAAGACAATAGGCAATGCTACTCTCCATATTAATATATATTATATGCAGTACGGTGGAAAAGTGTTACGCAGCCACACAAACTGGTTAAGGCTATTTATCTGGGAAATAAATGTACATACATGCTCAGAAAAAAAAACACAATTTAACATTAGAATATATGCAAATTAACAATGACATAAAAAAAATTACAAGAATTTTGTGTTCTCCAAAATAGGTACTGATATCTTGTTGGATGGCTAGATGAACACCTCTTCAGTTCTCAAGCTTCTCTTAAGGGGCACCTCAGCCATTCCATGTATTCCTTACATTCCACCACCAACCGAATTAATTACTTAATTTAATTAGTTAACTCAATTAAGTACTGATTGGCCATAGGCGGTGTGCTAGTGGTCAGTCAAAAAACGTATGATCGTATTGGGTGGTTACAACAAATACTGGTCTGACTTTATAGAGGTTTTAAATAGTTAGGTTAACACACTTTGACAGATATAATATCATTTTATGAATATGTATATACAGTCGTCCCTCGCCATTTCGCGCTTCGACTTTAGCGGCTTCACTCTATCGCGGTTTTTTCAAATACATTTATTCATTAAAAAGTTGATAGACAGTGAAAATGATACAGCGCGCGCTCGGTTGTCTGAGTCAATTATACACCTCTGTATTACAATAAAAATTAAAATTACTGTACGTATGGACTGTAGGCTTATGTATTCGATCACCCCCGCAAATCCTTCAACGCCAGATGCAGCCGAATAATAAAGAAATAAAGAATCCTACTTCGCGGAAATTCATTTAACGCGGTAGAGTCTGGAACGGATTAACCGCGATAAACGAGGGACGACTGTACAAATCATTCAGGTTTACAAAAACACAAAAACAACTCCTAACAAGCTTTGGAATTGCCCGTGCGTGCTACGCATGACGTCGCGTACGTGCGCGTAACACGTACTTTAACGTCTGTTGGTAATGCTGTGACGCAAAAATTCCGCGCCTTTTGCTCATATTTGCTGTGTAATATTTGAGCTAACGAGGGTCGGGAAAGAAAGTCTGGGGAGAATTATTAAAAATAAAACACTGTTAACGTCGTGTACGTGATCTGTAGAATGGAGTATTTAATCGGAATTCAGGGGCCTGATTTTGTGCTTGTTGCGGCTGATACTGTTGCGGCCAGCAGCATCATTCAGATGAAACACGGTATGATATTGACTGTCTTTACTTTCTTTTCACTTTTATTAATTATTAGTAAATAAATATTAACGTGCTTTTTTATCTTGGTTTACTTTCTGAGATCGACAGTACTTAACCCTCTCCAGTGTTAATGTGCTAATGCTTAAACAGGCATTTGGATTCGGTTAGCTAACTGTCAGTGAATTTTACCTTGTATTCGTGCATTTACTTTGTATTCGTGCATTTACAGAAAATTATATAGTTGCAGCTTCAGTTTCTTGTTTTTCCAACATAAGACGTTGTTATGTATTTCGGTTATTTGGTATTTTAATATGCTGGATAGAAAATCGAAAGTGAAAATGAATGCAATCGATAGGCAGCCTAAGCGGCCCGTAAGAAGAAACCTATAGTATGACAAAATTTAAATTCAGTTTAAAGCGAGTCGTGATTTCATCTACTTGTCATACTTAATGTACATCCCAGTTCACATAAAACCCTCATGGTTTATTTTTAAATGCATCCTTTCACAAATTCTTGTATTAAATCCCTTCTCGTGGCGCATTGTGGGTGCGATAATGTTTCTTGGTCGTTTTCCTTTTCTAACACTTTTGCCCAGTTAGACTTAGGCTATTTCTGTGCCGTTAGTTAGTTTAAAATGTTTTCTATGTTGTAAAAGCTGTTCAATAGTGTATCGAAATTATGTATTTATTTGCTCCTATTAGAGTTAATTCGTTAGTATTATAGTTATTAATATCATGATACTTAAGCTATCTTTTCTTTTTAATAGTATTATTTCCCATGCACTCCCCTCCGTGGTACTCGAATGTCCTTGATCCTCGTAATACATGTGACAATAAAATTTGAAATAAAGCAAGCAATCCCCCTTTTTAGTCTTATTGGTCTATGTGCAACTGCACTTGACATGTTCTCGTGTTTGCGGATTATACATAGGTACAAATATCTTTTGCAGATTATGACAAAATGTTCAAGCTGAGTGAGAAGATTTTGCTGCTCTGTGTGGGTGAAGCTGGGGACACGGTACAATTCGCTGAGTACATCCAGAAAAATGTCCAGCTCTACAAGATGCGGAATGGTGAGTGTCACCTCCTCTCTCCAGGTTCCTCTGGAAGCAAGCATGTTGTGTCGAGTCATTCGTGTCCGGAGACCCGGTGGAATGTTTCGTGGAATGTGGGCATATAATTAATCCACGGTTATTTTAATGACGTCAGAAGCAGAGGCAGAGTAACTCCTTGTCAGGTGGCACATTATTATATTACATTGCAATGTACATAGCATGGAAAGTTTAGAAGAACACCCATGGGTGGCTGGTAACATCTGTTCTGTCTCTGCCAGGGTATGAACTAAGTCCTGCTGCTGCGGCTAATTTCACTCGCAAGAACCTCGCGGACTACCTTCGCAGTCGGGTAGGTGCCACCTCTGCCTTTGTCCTGCTGCGGTACTGCTCATTGGTTAGTGAAGTATTGAAGATCAATGGTCTTGTGACAGTTTATGGAGAGTAAGATGGGCCAGAGCAATAAAGGGAGTTTTCTCACGGGGATCAATGGAATTTTCTGTGGTGGGAAGCCATAAAAATGTGAGGGGTTTTCTTCATGGAGATATATATGGTGCCTGATTCTGCGATTCTGTCTCCGTCCATGAGACGCAAATCTGTGTTATTGAATGCCACCCATCTCCACATCTGTAGCCCACAGTATCAGCAGTAAAGCTTACTCGCTGTCCTTGGATACAGCCCCCCCCCCGACGGCGCTCGCTCATCTGGAAGCCGAGAGCTAATTTGTTAGGAAGCGTATGGTCGCTGCCTGTCACAATAACAGAATGGGAGAAAATAATTACAAAAAATAATTAGGGCGGCTGATGAGGGCAAGCTGGTGAGGGAGCTCACCGCACCGGGGGAGGGGGGCCGGCCGATCTCAGGGGTCGAACGCGGGGCCCCTGCGGCTCCTGTGCCGGCTGCTGGGGGCTGATCGGAGAGCCTGTGCACTCACGGTGCTCCGACCTCAGGTGTTCTGCTGGTCCGCTCTGCTCTGCACCGAGTAGCTGCACGTTTATTTACCTCCTGAATTTCTGTAGCTTAATAATATGTCTGCATGTATGGAACAGAATATCTGCTCGTGATGTAATGCTTCAAGGTCAGAGGATTGTGACTCGCATGCACAGATGATGCATAGATGAGGTTTATTGTCATAGGTTCAGTACAGATACAGATCTAAGCTGCAGACGGCCTAAGACATGGATCGGGCCCTGGGCATTCATGCGCTCCATGGCTGCCAAGGGGTTTAAAATATCACCCTGTGATATCAGCGTGTCCTGGTGCTCGTTTTGCCCTACACTTGCACCTTTGATGTAAAGCGCTTAGACTGAATAATTCTAGTAAATATTCAGAGTCAATGTGTGCGTGAGAGACCAACTGTAAGAAGCCGTGCACCTATGTGTTTATAACGCACCCTGTGAGTTCAGGTGCCTGAGTTAACGAGCTTACTGTGTCTCGCGGGGGGGTGGCAGAATTAGGGGGCGTGGGGAGTGTAAGGGAGGCGGTGCGGCTCCCAGGTGGGTGCAGTGAGGAGGGTGTCAGTGGGAGAGGGGGGGGGTTCCTGCTCCACCTTTTTTCAGAGCCTTGGCTGATTCCCCATGTGGGCTGCAGATCAGATCACAAATACTGACTCAGGCTTTCACATGTATGTTTACTGTCTGTCTCCCTCTGTGCCACACGCACACACACACGCACACACACACACGCACACACACACACACGGTATCTCAAGACTGTCACCTCTATGGTAAAACCTGACCCCTCCCCCCTTCCTGTCACATGGTTGACCAGGAAGAGGACAGAGAATTGGAAATGTGTCCGAGGGTGTTCTGTTGTGCTGTCGCCTGTGGGCGTCCTGGTATGCGCCAGCTTCGGCTCCAGCACACAGTGGCGAATACTTTGGCCGCGTCCCTTTGACCTTTGACCTGCGATCCCAGACTCCCAGGCTGGCAGTGGGCAAAGGGAGCAGGGCGAGCAGGACCGGGAACAGGGTGGCGGTGGAAACGTGGCGTCGAAACAAACAAGGGCGGAAGAGGAAGAAGTTTTAATGAGCCCTGGCGTCACTCCAGGGCAGGGGGCTCGTGGGGGGGCGTGAGAGCAAGGGGGGGGGGGGGTGCAGCTCGTCAGCAGATGTCACACTGTCAGTGACACCCCGACCCCCAACACCCCCGCTCCTCACCCAGAGCCTCCGCACTTTCACACCCCCTCTCCGTACTCGCTGCGCTGATGTTGCCACTGTTGTTGTTTTCAATTTCTCATTTTATGTAGTTTTTAATCTGAACCGTTAATGAGAAACAGGGTTTGTTTGGGTAGGTTGTGGTCTGAGGGGGGAACTTTTTGCTTTGTCCCTTCGACACCCCTCTCAGATTTCCCACTAAACCAGTATGCTTAGGGACACGAGCGAGCGGCTGGTCTCCACTCTGCCTGCCGACCCCTCGGGCATCGCCGTTCCTCGTCCCACTGCTGGGCCGGTGTGTGATCCTGCCCTGTGGTGGATTTTCTAGGCCGGTTCATGTTAAGCACCTTGATTTAAGCCCCTCCGCCCCCACGGCCTGACCTGTCTGCTCTCCCCCCCAGACCCCATACCATGTCAACCTGCTGCTGGCCGGCTTCGACGAGGCTGATGGTCCCAGCCTCTACTACATGGATTACCTGTCTGCTCTGGCCAAGGCTCCCTTCGCGGCCCACGGCTACGGCGCCTTCCTCACCCTCTCCATCCTGGACCGTTACTACCGGCCAGGTAGGCTGGGGCGCCCCGTCTTCCTCGAGCCCCTTCGCTGATGTCGCCACTGCTCTGGTTATAGTAGACACTCTCTCTCTCAAACAGTGTGGTCAGAATTACAATGGCTGTGCATAAGACTGAGGCCAGTGCCCTTGGTAATTTTTGTATCTGCACCTTCACCCACTGCAGATCTGAGTCGAGATGAGGCCGTTGACCTGTTGAAGAAGTGTGTGGAGGAGGTAAGTGCACCTCTCGCTCCCTGCGGAGCTGGTGGGGCGGGTGGGGCTGCTTTGGCTGAGAGACTGCACTGGGCCTGGTTGTTTGGGCATCGTGAGCCTCGGATTGTGATGCAGCTGATTGCAGTGCTTCTGGACATGATTAAAACTTGCGTTACACCTCGAAGATACTTTGAGAGCCAAAATAACAAAACCGAGAAGTAAAACTTCCCAAACTAAATTCAGATTACCTTTCCTCTGTAGTTAATCCATGTTGCATCATACACTGCCCGGCCAAAACAAAAGTCGCCATTTGAATTTTTCATTGGACCGCCTTTAGCTTTGATTATGGTGCGCATTTGGCATGGCATTGTTTCCACAGGCTTAAGCAACATCTCACCCTTTATTTTAATCCATATGCATTAATTTCTCACCGAGATCCTGTATTGACAAGTGAGTTGAACCACTCTGTAAAGCCTCCTTCAGCACATCCCAAAGACCTTCAATGAGGTTAAGGTCACAACTCTGTGGTGACCAAGTCATGCGTGAAAATGATTCCTCATGCTCCCTGAACCACTCTTTGACAATTCGAACCCAATGAATCTTGGCATTCTTGTCCTGGAATATGCCCATGCCAACAGGGAAGAAAAAAACCCATTGATGATGGATGGAGGTGTAACCTGGCCATTCAGTAGATTCAGGTACTCAGCTGACTTCACTTTATTGCTGCATAACGTAGCTGAGCTGTAATAATGATCCAGTCATTGGCTCTTAAGAATTTGCTGATATAAATTCAAATGGCGACTTTTTTTTTTGGCCGGGCAGTGAGAGTCCTCCAGTGTTCAGACATGGAATCCATAATGGCTTCCAGTTTCACGAGTGGAATCCCGCTCCATTGTTCTGTAGCCCTAAGGTGCCCGCAGGAAACTTTCCTTCACTGTCTGCCTGGAGTTTTTCGTTTGGCAGTGGCTGCAGTCCTCAGGCAGATCATGTGAACGCACTGGTGCACGCTGGTTACCATGGGGGCGACGCTGCAGTGATGTCACCTCGCTGGAAATCGCGTTGATGTCTCTGGAATTCCGTCTGTTGGGGTGGATGCAGATGCGGCTCTGGGACCCTCGTGTTCCATCAGGCGTATCTGCTGCTGTAGCTGCCTGCTCACGCGGACGAGGGGGGCGAAGCAGTCACTGCTTAACGCTGGATAACATCATGCGCGCTAATTTCAGTCATCGGCCATCTTGCACCTTAGCCCTTGGCGTGCCGCCAGTGGGCCGAGGCACTGCAACTGGCTTAGAACTGGGGACTTTTACAGCATTGTCCATAGTGTCCATAGATTTGCATTCTTAAATTTTTAATTTTGCATGGCAGATGCCCCGAGTAGTGTGCTTGGGGCAGTGTTCAGCAGAGTAGAGCTCCTTCAGTAACCTTCCTTCAACAGTGATATATGGTCAGATTCGGGAGTGGGTGGATATGTTCCATTAGATCTGCTGTAATTCATGCACACTGCAGTTTTAAATGTTTGTTTGGTCTGATGTTGGGTGCTGGGGAGTGACTGAGGCCACAGTGTCAGAGTGACGATCAGAGGGCTCAGGTGACCCCCCCCCACACACACAATGCTGGGCAACCTTCTCACCTTCCCCCTCCTCCCCCCAAACCCCAGCTGAACAAGCGCTTCATCCTGAACCTGAAGTCCTTCAGCGTGCGTCTGATCGACAGAGAGGGCATCCATGACCTGGAGCGACTGCCCCTGCCGCAGCAGTGACCCCCGATCCCCCGACCCCCCCCTGCACCCCCACGACGTTTTCTACAGCCTACTGTACCAAGCCCTCATTAATTTCAAATAAAATTACATTTTAAAAAAGAATTGCTCGTTCTGTTCATTTCTGAGTAAGTGGCTCCCTAAACTGGTGCTTGCAGCCTGACGTGTGGACTGTGTTCAGATTCCTGTTCCATGCTCTGTGCTGTGTTTCTCTGTGCTGTGTGTGTCACTGTGCCACCCTGTTCATCTCCCTGTCTGGCCATGACAGCCTCCCTACGTTCCCCTCAAGCAGACTAGCCGGCATATGGTGCTGAATGGAGAGCGAGCACAGGGAGGCGTGTTTTCTCTGCATGCGTCGGTCGGCCGGGGAGGGGGGCTGTCTGCCTCCCTTCCTAGCACACACAGGTGATTAATAAACATTAAAACAATCCCTCCCGCTTCTGAGCGCGCCGGAATCCAAGGGAAGCACAGCATATGTTTGCCTGCGGGCAGAGGAGGAGAGAGCAGCCCTGCTGAGTGCCAGCAAGGGGGGAGGGGGGGGGGGGGCAGGGGTGTGGTGCTAGCTGGTAATCAGGCAGGAGGGGCAGCTTGGGGGTGTGGGCTCAGTTGCGGACTGAGAAAAGCTGAAGGTAGATTGGCAGGAGGTGGGGGGGGGAGAGATGGTAGTTATGCAGGAGTTTGCTGGGATGCTAATCAGGAATGGGGTGATTCTGGGCATCGGTGGACCCCTCGCTGCCACCCTACTGGCCGGAAGGAGGAACTTCCTTGGGGCTTAAAGACACGCATCCCCCCCCCCCCCCCCAGGAGGTGACGTGCCGTTGGCAACAAGAAAATGTGGGAGAAGGTGACAAATAAGGTCTCTGTGAGCTGGGAGCGCCTTTCGAATGACAAAAATAACCACATGCACATTCTTCTCTGCACCAAAATCCGGCCTAATTGACTGAGATGGAATCTTTCACGTGATGGATGTGAACGCAGCTCATCATAGTGCTGTCTGGCCTGGCCTGTATGTCGCTTTGGATTCTGCTAAATAAACAAATGTGAGTGTACCCTGAGGTCTTACGGGCAATTCTGCGGAGATAATCAGTGAAGACACAAGACAGTTAACATCAATGTCATTCTTTAATAATATATTACATTTACCTTGTAATACACTAATAATAATTAATAATAAAGATACAATGGTAAGTACAAAACAATGTTTTTTTTTTTGTTTTTTTTTTTTTACAAATAAAAGGAATTACACCAGTGAATGTCCTGTTTCACCATCGCTCACTTTTCTCACCTTTTCTAAATGATCTGACCAATAAGATACCCCACGCCCCAGCCCCCTGACACACACACACACACGTGCGTTAGGAGACTGAGGTACATTTTCTTGTTGCATGGTGGCTGTGCGTTGGCAGTGTGTGTCTGGTCCTGGGGAGACGCTTGTGGGCCCAGCAGGACCTGCGAGTCCCTGCCGATGGTGTCTCTGTGACTCCCCATGGACGCAGAGGTCAGAAGCCCAGTACAGGCATCGCATGGGAGGCCTCTGCCCTGTGGAGAAGATGGTTTGCGTGTTGGCTGCTGTCACGCATGGCAGGAAGTAAGACGTCCACCTGGTCTGGCGTCTGGCTGTCAAAAATCTCTCACCCATCTCTCATCAGAGCTAACAGGCCAGGAGGGCGTTGGGGGTGTGTGTGGTGGGGGTTGGGGGTTGGGGGTACTGTGGGTGCTGGGCACTGGCAGGGCAAATCCTGACCACGGTACCTATTTGCGGTGCTTAATCTCCTTGTCGTGGGGGCCCTTGGTCCCAGCATCGCTCTTGTCCAGCAGCTTGAGCGCCTCCAGCAGGTAGGCCTGGAAAGCGGACAGCGCAGCACAGATGGCGGGCGCTCCGAAGCCGTGCGTCAGCAGGCTGAAGTGGGTCAGGCTGCCCTGGACGGCAGGTTCCAGGCAGGGGGTGGGGCGGCCTGCACCCAGGGGCGACCGGTCCTGTGCCATCAAGTCCACAAACTCTTTGCAGATCTGCCTGTAGAGACAGCGGGTCGGGGTTACATTTTAATGGGTGTGAACGGTATAGAGAGATAGAAGTACAGAGAAAAGTGAAAGCGGCACCGAGGCGGTGAGGCACCACACGCCATCACTGTCGGAAAGTGGGACGTAAAGACAGGCTGCCGAATTGCCGCTCAGCACATGCAAGTCAATGCTGCTGCAAAACATGCAAGCGATGAGCATCTGGGAACGACTCACTGGGGAATCGGGGGCTGAAATCTGGAGCACTGATGTTCCCGAATCTGCGAGGCACGTAACAAATGCATGAGACCGCTGGGAGTAGCATGTTTTGCTGCGGAGGAGCGGCTGCAGGGAGCAGCAAGGGGCAGCCGCAGCCGAGCTCGGCCTGTCCAAATCTTTGGAACATTCACGCCTTACCCCCTTACTGCAGCTGGGGTAATGACTCTGAATCCACAGCCAATCGGGCTTAGAATAATGCCACACTGATCCCCTGTGATACAAACTGCGAGAATCACAAAGCACCTCCTGCTGCACTTGTTGAATGTTGAAATATCTGGGAGGAAAATACTTACTATCTATTTCGGAATGATAGTGAAATAAAATGATTATACTTTATTGATCCCCATGGGAAAATTCTCTTTTCACCTCCCCCGTCTTGCCCTCTGTAGGTGAGAGCGAGCTGGGCAGAGATGGGCAGCCACCCATAGCGGCACCCAGGGAGCTGGGGGTTAAGGGCCTTGCTCAAGGAGCCACAGCCAGGACTGCTCTGCTGAGGCTGGGCTTTGAACCGGTGACCTTCTGATCATAGCACAGAGGCTGAGCCGCACACTGCCCCAAATAAATTTCTTTGTATAGCAAATCATTCTAGACATGTTTCTGGACATAAAAGAATATGCATTTCATATTATTAATATTAATAGATATTATTTTCGATTCTAATAATGATATTAAATAATTAGATGGTCATTCCCAGGCATTTTCCTCTTTTCCATTCTTTTTTTCTGCACGAGTGCTTACGCCTGGTGCCGTTATGCTTCATGCCTGCTCTGCACCACCTCACCTGCTCACACAGACTCACACTTAACAAAGCATGTCAGCTCCAGAATGCTGCCCGGGGGACTGTAACTGGTCCCCGTAGGATGGAAATCTTTTGGGTCCAAATCCACAAACAGTAGGCCACCTGTTGTCCATATGCACGGTTAAAGGAAATTAAATAAAAGGCAAATGTTTTTTTTCTGACTTTCTAGGTATTTTACTATGTTTTATTTTTTATATTTTTGGGGGTGTTGCCAAAAAAAGAAAAGCAATATTATATTGCAAACTGTACCAGATGTTTAATTTTAAAAAAAGTATCTAGAATAGTATTTATATTTAAGATTTATGATAGTATTTATATTTAAGATTGGAAATTAATATTTATATATGTTTTATTTAAAAAAAATATAAAAAACACACACATTTTAGACATATAGATTTTATAAGTTAGGCCTATGTATGAGGTGCTGTCGTACAGCAGGCTGTGTTGTCCCAAACCAATATTCCTTTAACAAGAAGTGTAGAGCGGACATATTGCGCCTCATTGTGTTTTATGGCAAACTCCGGGAAACACGGGAGGAAAAGAGCGGCGGGGCATCCCGGAAATGGCTGGGAAGCCGGGCGCGCGGCGGAAGGCGGAGAAAGGGCGCGCGCACTCACTTGGTGGCCAGCAGCATACTGCGCCTGGCGGGCAGCTGCTCAGGGTCACTCTGCCGGCACAGGTACTCCGCCGCGGCCCGGGCCGGGAATTCAGTCTCACACACGTAGCCGAAATCCCGCGCCAAGTGAACGGCCTCCCCTGAGCAAGAGGTGGGTGAGAGTAAGATAGAGGGGGAAAAAAACACCTTTAATGCCAGAGTAAATGGAAACTTTCGTTATTATCATTAGCTTGGGAAAAAAATGACGAGCCTCCTTCTTATCGGCTTTCGGGTGAGCTGAGCTTTTAATGAACGGTAACAGATATCAAAGTAATGCGCGTTATCTTAATCATGGAATGCGTTATTTGAGAAACACAAAAACAAAAAATATTTTTGTATGTGATCCCATAATATTTTTTAGGTTTTTAATTCTACCTTTACTTTAGAATTGATTTTCTTTAGATGTGTAAGTTCAGTGTACCTGTATCAGTCAGGCCTAAACGTTGATTAGGCCTAATTTTAAATATGCATAACGAAACTAGTTTCAGGGAAATGCCGGTGTTATTTAGAAAAATCGTATCCAGTATCGCAGTCGATAATTTAATTGTAACATTTACTTGTAAACTAACTAGCTGCTGCCGAATTGAAGCATTCAGTGACATGTGGGCTTAATTGTGCGCTTCATTCAAAACCAGCTCATTTTAATGACACGATGACCCGGTTCCTTCATGGACTTTCCGTCACTTTATGCACCGCGCCTCAGGTGTTCATGCCCTGCACCGAGACGGTAGCCAGCGGCCTTACCCTCCACTAGCGCCGTCAGGAGGGTGACATTAGCGGCCTTACGCCGGCCCGCCGGGAGATTGAGGCCGATCTTCTCCAAACGTTCCCTCAGACAGCGCCCGCCGTTCTTCGACTTGGCCCTTGATGGGGTAACAAACCGGGAGAGCAAGTGAATCCCTGCCCTGCACACCCGTGTGGACAACCGTCGCCCTGTTCTCATCCTCTCAGTTGATCGATTCTCCTGTTGATGATGGATGAACTACATACGTTACATGCGTACATTTTTTTAGTTATGTATTTGAAATGACCTGCACAAAGTCATCTTATCCTAACTACTGAACGCTAAAACTTAATAAGAACTGTAAAACATATCGATTCGGACAGTCCTAACGCTTTCCCCTCTCCGATCTCACGACCCGCTCACATCACGCTGCTCCCGCTCACCTGCGCAGGACTCCGCCCAGCAAAGAGGCGTTCAGGCACTCGGGTGGAGCCAGCCGTCGCTGTACCTCCCCTACTGTCACCTTGTACTTAGAGGTGGAACTGAGCAGAGACAGGCGTCCCGGGACGGAGCAGAAGACTTCGCCCGGGTTTGACACACCCCCGAGCCCCAGCCCCTCCTTACTGAGGGACAAGGCGGAGAGAGCCGAACCGTTCAGCTTGGACGGGACAGGCACTGTGAACCAAGAGAAAGAGACCTATTAATTATACCGTCACACACATTGGCCTATATTAGATTAACACAACAGAAGCCGCTGTATTATTTTTCTGGCAGACATAGAACATTTAAAATATATTTTATTATGACTGTGCCAAGTATGTATGCATTTAAAATGGTGAAACACAGTTGCATCAGGACTGGCAAGCAAATCGTAATTTATTAAGATTTTAATCTATTTTTCCTCAAATTTGATAATTGTTTTTTTTCCATATGGCTTAAGTAGGCGCCATTTAAACTAGCATAATTTGTTATCGTTGAATAGATGATTATGTAAGGTAAGGATTCGCAGAGAAAATGATTAATTGCCTTTCAAAGGCTGCAATAATGATTCGTGTTGGCATTTAAAAAAATACACAGTCTCGTTCGCTCGTTCGTTCATGATCCATCACCTTGCTGTTATGTCGCCGTTTAAACTGTTAATTCGTTTTTAAAAGATTAACTTTGTAGCCCACTAATCGCACGGCTCCGTATGCATGCCCGTAGGCTGGGGTTTAATTTAAGTTAACCAAGTGTTTCAGAGAGAGAGAAGACGGTGTCTGACAATAACAGAAATGACGAAAAGGACGACATACAATTTCACATCGTTGGATTCTTGGCTCGGTTGTATGCATTGTGCAGCGTTACCGGTTTATTGTCTTGGCTGTACCCGCCCCTAAAACTGGTTTCAGCGCAGACTTTCTTAGTCTCTGTGGGCAGCGTGCTTCCCTTAAGCGCCCCGCAGCGCAGCGCGGATTCCCGGACACAAGCGAGCTGTCAGAATCCCTCCCTCTGAGCCAGACTGCGGCGCGGGAGATGCCTCTAAGCCCTCTGCAGAGATCCGCTTATTCATGTGGGTTTTGGTTTGTTCCGATGTTCTAAATCCTTGCCAGTTAGTCTGTTCTATAATTGATACATTCTGTTCTCAGGCAAATCATCCATAGTGTTAACCATCGCCACTGTTTTTAAAATAAGCCTTAATTAATTCATTCAGAAATAATTTCTAAATATACTCTTAAAGGGTGATTAAATTACAGCTGTTGTACAATTTTCCAGTGCTTACAGTGTCCAGAATCTTGTATTGTGTGGTAAAGATGGCGCAAACTTTTCAGATTTAGGTTCTGTTGCTCAAATGTGTGATGGATTACAACGGACATAGATACTTGTGTACGAAATACTCCCTTATCCTTCATCTCACCTTATAGAGGGCTCGTGTTTGGTGCATGTGCCTGCATGAGGCAGTGTGCATGTATCTATTTTGCGCGCACTCCGTAGGCCTACATGCGTGAATGATTTTGTGAATGTAAGAATGTAAGTGTTATATTTAAAATATTATATGCCCACATCTGTCCCGTCTCGTTTTTTCCTCTTCACCTTTCTTGATGACAGAATGATCCAAGATCCCCAGAGCTGAGCCATCCTCCATCACCTGTAACAGAGAAAGTTGCATATATTTGACAGCGGTCTTCATTGTTCTCTGTCGTCACCTGCATGATGCCTTGGAGCTAAACGGGAGATTTCATATTTTAATTTATGTAAAGGCTTTTTTTCACCTACTGAATCAAATCCAAGCAGCATCGTATAATTACTGTTCCATTTACCAGGCTTGGCGCTTCTTCGGGGTGGCCATGCCCTGCGTGACGGAGTCATAGCCCAGCTTTCATGTGCTTGGTATAACGGCGATATCACGTCCATAGTAATACAAAATAGCCTATATAGTGTCTTATGATTTAGGCTTACTAACTTTCTCGCTGATCGTTTTGTGCGTCTGTATTTAAAATGTGAAAAATACAGACCCGCACACATAAATCAGTCTGCGAGATGGCAATGAGAGCTGAGGCGCGGATGTTACAGACGATGCCGCTGAGGTGGGACGTCATGTCACCTTTGCGCGCTTGGCTTTTCATAATGGCTCAGCCGCCGCCACAACATCTGGCGGCGGTCCTCAGGTCGCAGAGTGGGATCTCCATGGGATTCGTCTTAACGCGGATGTAAGGGCGAGGACGCCCGCCTACGCAGCCTTACTCACACGTGCCTATTTGCAATTTCTCTCATAGGCATTTTCATAGCAAAGATGTCAATGCGAGTTATACTTAGCTTTTAACAAACAATTTCATGTTAGCGTAATTAAGGTTAGGAACTTTCCGGAATTTGAACTGGCAAACTTTGGTATCCTATTAATTTCCGGCTTACATCGCTGATTATTCAAGGTGTTAAGCACAACTAATTATTAAATTATCAAATTGTTATCGCTAATTTATAAAACTTGTATGGATATATTTAACATAATGAAAGTGTCTTGTTTTCTTTAATATCTGTCTGATATTAATACGTTAAATAATGATACAGATTTCAGTATGTGAGCTTAATAAAAGATCAAACGTTTAATCAAAACCGCACCACATCGGAGCCCTTTGCAGGCCTAAGCTTTTCTCAATAAAGGGGAGTCTTGAACGCGTATAAATGTTTCTTACACTGTTACTGATGCATAAATCCGTTTCAGCAGTCCTTTTCGTCGCTCTTTTATTCCTCTCTGAAAGCATGAACAACTTCTGCTCATGTGTTAATTCTGTCAAGACTTGGAAAACAGCCCCTTATTGTAGCGGTTACATTGTAATCGGCTTCAATGGCAGTCGCCGATGATTAAGAGGCATATTTATTTTCTGGGGTGCCGCAAGATTTGTCAGGGATGGATTTCGTTCCGGGAGATTTTTTCCTCTAATCCCCGAAATAATCATTTAAATATTGGGAATATTTAAGGGATTAAAAATCGGAGTACCAGGAGGAAAAAAAAACGAATATAGCTTGTTCTGTATGTTGTTTTATGTTCGTAATGGCAACAGAGTTAAAAATATCAATCCGATAAAATGCTGCAATATTTTAAAAGAAAAATGTTACTAAACATTTAAATATAAATTATACAATTGATAATCTCACAATAATTAATAATAAATAACTTCTGTCTAAAACGCATCAGTGGGGAAAAAAGAATTTCAGGTTCCCCCATTTATTCAAAAATCGAAACATACTGAAATTGCAATTTAGTCGTTTCCTTTTGTCATCTATATTTCTTTCGTATTACCTAGGTTTTTGAAGAGATTTTTTATTGGAAGCTTTTAGTAAGTTTTATTTGACTGGCGAGTTAATTATAGATTATTTCGTTTTATGTATCATCTTATGGGTTTTTCTAATCACATTTAACTAATATATAACATTAACAGATCTTATGTCCGTCAACGGGAGGATCTCTGTGACAGCTGTGATGGAAAGGCCACTATATATAAAACTGAACTGAACAAAAACAGATTAGTCGTTAAAAATGGCTTGGGGATAAATATGACGCGAATTAAGTTTAGAACTTTTCAGTTTTGTTAAAAACTAGGTTACAACTCAAGAATATCATCACAAACAAGCAATCTGTTGCCGATTACAATGATCCTATGCAGTGTTCTGGAGCAGTAGAGGGTCAGCTGAGGATTTGTCAGATAATCAGGTAACACTAAAAACTAAACTTAACTACCGCAAAGATACAACTAAACAATACTGGCTTCAGAAGGCACGCGCTGCCACGCGGACACACATGGCCCCAGGGTGAAGGCGCTTGAAGAACTCGGGAAATAACGCAGGCATTCAGTCGGGAAAACAGAACCGTCCGGGTAAAACCAGAACATTACGCGGCACTTAATAAATTGATAAACACAGCAAATGCAAATAATACGTAATACAGAAATATGTGAAGACAAACGTAAATGTTAGGCCTGCACAAATATATAACTATAACGTTTTAAAATCTTCTTTAAGGATAAGATAAACGGTGCCAGTATATATTCCTATATGTATGTACTAATGAAATACATTAAACAGTTTTTCATTTTCAGTATCGTAAAGACATTAGATACGATGGCATACCTGAATGTCATCGATCCCGTGATGGCTCACCGCTTGCATCAGAGATCCGTCTCCAAGCGCTGCTGCCCCCTCCCCCAGTCCGTGAAGAAGACGGGGCACACCTGGGTACTCCCGCCTGGGGTCAAGGCTCAAAGCACGGTGAGACTGTGAAAGGAGCCCGCTCTCATCTGGTCGTGACCGCTGCGAATGCCACGCCGACTGTTGGTGCTGATGGATGGGATTTATTGAGGGATAGGGATCCGGTAGGTGCGGGTATCCGGAATCCTGACTTTGAGTGTAAGACAGCGATGGTTGCGGATAGGGCGGGGGAAAGTACGGAGGCTGGAATTCTGAGGCCGGTGTGTGACACAGTGGCGGAGCCGACGAGTAGGCCGCCTGGTTCAGAGAGGAGAGCTGAGATAGCCGGCCGCCCGGAGACGAGCTGGTGAGCCCATCTGCCCGGTCCTGAAAATGACACATCAGGATTGATCGCAAACATGAAAAATAGAATATCAAAAAAATCTGCGTGATTCATAATTCCCCCTTCAAGTGTAGTCACATCTTTACAATGTAGCACAAGTTGTTTAGTTACATACGCTTTAAAATGAAATGTAACAATAAGATTATATGTATATGGAACTCTTGCATTTAAACACTAAGTCGAAGACTTTCACTGACTCTTAAAAATGTTAGATGAACCCAGCTGACGTTGACTTTCTACCAAGTATTTCACACAAATTACCGTTTTAACCTGATGAAGCATCCAGTTGTAGTTAAGTCTGAAATTGGCTGTCTAATAAAATAAGCACGTTCCCCATTTTGTAACTGGTGTTTTATATTAATTTGCTTTCCCATTCCCCGGTCTAGTACACTTAAACTTCACTTAAAGTCCATCTAAACTTCAAGTTTTTTCCATAATAGTGTGAAAAGGCGATATGTAGGTCACCATTATTGATTCTCTTGGTGTGGAAAAACACAAGCTCCCTATGGACTAAATAAACCGATGAATATTCGATTATGCACGTATTTTAGAGTAATAGTTACTACTTTGATGCATTAAATCTTTCTCGTTGTGCTGCAAATAACATCAAAATGTCTGATTATGTGAATTAATATTATTTTAATTTTCTCGAATTTCTCGTTCGTTTTGCAGTCATGTCATACGTTTTACAGTTATCCCATCATCATTTATAAAAGCATAATCGAGTGCAGTCGCTCCCTTCAATATTTGCACCAACATGATTTAGAAGTTTCAAATGCAGAAAGGAGCGCACCACTTTCACTGAAGCGTACAAGTTTTGACTACACCGCAAGGAGCAGAAGCAAACCGTAACAGGGTCGTGCGTGTCAAGACTCACCATACTGGAGTATGTGTGGACTAACATCTAGATTGCGGAATGGCTGAACCTCAAAATCCGATTCTGTTTTTTTAATTATTTATTTTTTTTGGCAGGTCTTCACGAAAAAACGCCGGCAAAGTTAAAATCCAGAGTTCTTTCGTCTATCTAGAAGATCCATTAAGCCAGAAGGGGCGTCTGATATTTTATTTGTACCACAGTTTACCCCCACGTGCGGTTGTGGATGCTATTCGATGCGCTAAAAGAGGGTGACAAAGTGTCTTCGACACTCCATGAGCGCTACTTATAGTTTTCTGAGCGCCCTTCGTAAAGCAGTGGGTGGGCAAATTGGGTGGGGGGCATCGTTCTTAAAGGGACATTATTCCTTCATTGTTTATTTTTTTAATTCATTTATTTGCTTGTTGGTTGGCTCACAGAATTTTAAAATATTATCCATCATCTGACTTAAGACGTTTTTTTTTTTGGTCGACTGCGTATATGGTTGAATTGACCATTTCTTTCAAACAATATAGCCTAAAGATACACGGAATGCAGAGTATTATGACATTTTGGAAAGACCCAAATGAGAAGAAATGTGCTCAGAACAACCACCACAAGCGGTCTCAGGGCGTGCGGGCATTTACCACATACCACATCTCAGACAAAAAAGAAGGCTTGATTTCTGTTTGAAGGTCTTCGAATAGAATTTCCCACAATTGTGTGTCTCATGTTGAACCAGTTATGTCCAATGAAAGAACGTTTGTGAATTAAAAAAAATTGTGTCGTTGGACCAGGATGCGTGGGGTCTCGCATATTGTCGAAAATAAATTTAAGATGTTCCAAGTGTTGCGCGGTTTGGAGTCCACTCTGCACAGCCAAATGTAGAAATGCACTGCATCGTTATATCCGATGATGATTTTGACAGTTGTATCTTCATAAGATAATAATCGTGAATAATAATCATAATGATAGAATGAGGGATGTCTTACCTGTAGACAGTAAGGCTCAGTCTTGGTGCGGGATTTCCACAGCATGACGCGAGAGACAGAAATCGGTGAGCGGGGAAGGTGCCGGAACCTGTCGGGTGTCAGAGGTGATGTGGGAACCGGTGTGAACCGAAAATGGCAAGGAGGTTGACTGAGGTGGAGAAGCGATGCAGGAGTTTTATAGAGTGATGAATCGGGAGTTGGTGGGAGGGGTAGGCTATACGGCTAGAGGGATGGCGCGTTTAATACAGTGACGAAGTCATTTGTTATTACGGGACGGTGAAGGAATTGTTAGCGGATAGGTGCACGACACGAGAAGAGCAGGGAGATTGCCAAATTTATGTTAACAATAACTGGGCGTGTGGAAAGGCCCTCGATGGCGTCGTTTTGTATTCAGAATTAAAACCATACCTCCGTCACGTGCCATATAATAACTGCAGTTTTAAGAAGTGATCAAAAAAACTCAGGCGTAGTCGACATACACTACCGACTTTAGCTTAAGGTAATGTCATATGGTCTTTGTGGGAGATATCATCATTGCGCATTACTCACAATAAATAGCATACAAAGTATAACGAAAATATCAGCGACCGGGTCTTCCTACTGTCAGGTGTTTCATTTCCTCGTTCAGTAAAGTGGAGTCCACGAGCATGGACCTTAATCAGATCCGTGCTGTCATACTGGAAATCGACCCCTTGCCGCAAACACACTGATATTCGATGCAAATGACAACACAATATCTTGCCAATTGAAATATCGTCGACACTTTTTCTGTTTACTTTATGCCATTTTTATGCGTAGGTGTTTAAATTGTACGTATATTGCTGCCTTAAGAGTCCTTATAGAGTCCGGGTTACCCACCACTTCGTCTTCCAAATTCAACAGGCAAGCTCCCATACATTTAGTAACACTGTCATCTTGTGGAGATCATGTGGAACTGCACATAAATGCCCATGACTACCAAATCGTTATGGGATTTTTCAATGGCACGGAGTCTTAATGTTTCGATTTTCTCTTTAAATTTTGTAGAATTAATTTGTTACAGGTTATTATTTCCAGTTCAGCACAGTGTAAAGTACCACGATTAATAACTTAACAGCGACAAAACGTGGGCGAGACAAGATGGCTACCGCAAATATAAAAACATTGCTGATCAAGGGCAATTTTAGGATCTGACCATTGGGGGGCCCAGCCTCCCACCCTCCCATGATTAAATTCGCAGAGTTTGCTGAGCGACTGGAGGGGGTCCAAAATGTATATAATATGTATTAAAAATCCTGGATAAATCACTAAACAGTTCTTTCAGGGGGGCTGAGACAAAGAAGCCCCCTAATTAGGGTGTAGGGATACCTATGTTGCTGAGTATTTGACACCTTTGCCACTCTTTCTGGTTTCTACATCTGCTCTGCCGGATATCAGTAAATTCTGCGATGACAGACTTAAAAAAAAAAACAAAAAAAAAAAACTCATGCTCAGGTAAAATAAATCTTTATTCATACAAAAATATTTTATTTTCACTGTGGCTCATTTAGTTCTGGTGACGGCCAGAAGCCCACATCTCAGTCAGCATGATGCCAGTGCAGGATCTTGCTGTTGGTGTGTTTCTCTTTAAGAGTCGGTCAGTGTGCCAGCACCCTCTGAAGCCGCGCCATGCTCATTATGGATCCTCCTTTGCTCCTTTCCATACAGGAAGCGATGTCCGCTCTGCACAGCGGACAGTGGCTCGCTAGTGCGACAAGGGCCTCCTCTAGCGCCCCCTGGATCTGGGAGTCTGGCAGCGCAGAGCAGGAGCCCAGCAAGCCGAGCACTTCTGCCAGCCAGCCTCCATCCCGGGCAAGGCGTGCCACCGCGGGCTGTGCCCGCACACAGGCCCCAAAGGCCTGCAGTGCCAGCGCCCAGAGCTGGCCTACCTCATGCCACCAGTCCTGCCACGCAGCGCTCACCCGCAGCTGACCTGGGCCCGGGTCTGGCCCACTAAGTGCCCCCAAGAGGAAGCCAAGGGCAGCAGAGAAGAAGCGATGCTGTCCCATGCCTGCAGGACCTGTGAGATTAAAGGGCGAGACAAACATGGAGATCAAGAGTGAGCCAGGGCCCACACTGGCCAGAGCGCGGTGGCGCCATTTCTGTTAACACTGCTACAGACCTTACTGCTCTTTTCATGCAAATAAAAGCCACATTATATTAACGTACATTAACTACTGCTGGGACGGCACAACCCACATATGTAACGTTATTTGCAAAGAAATGTCGACTTTGTCGACTGATGTGCGTACACCGCAGAATCTGTCAGTTATGTTATGAATACGTGCGCGACTCCTCAAACTGGTAATCAGTTACGGAAATACTACCAGTCAAAAGTTTGGACGCACCTAATGCAATGGCCTCATAACAGTAGTATTAATTACATATTAAACCAAAAGCTTATGTTTAAATGCTCAATTTTTTTCTAAGACACACAGAAAGAGCAAAAAAACAAAAAACACTACTTAAGTAGTCAAACTTGCTTGGACCAATAAACACAAACGCTAGATAATCAGGCCAGTTGACATCTCTCCTTTGGCCTGAGGAGGCAGAGTCCTTTGTCCCAACAGCTGTGTCTTTGTGAAACACAGAACAGGCGAGCGGATCATCTCTGAAAGCATCCAGCCGACCGTGAAACATAGGGGGAGATGTGATGGTCTGGGGATGCCGGTGTCAAACTCCCCCACCCACCTGCAGGAGCTTGCGTCAGTCGGCCAATCATGAGGCCCAGGGTGCAGAAATTAGCTGCCATCACTAAGAGCTGAGGCTTGTGCAGCGCGACGGGAAACGCGTCATTCAGGAAGGACTGCAGGGACGCGAAACATGCGTCCTCCCTGCCGAGGAGAGGGAGACGTCAGCTACCAGTGCCAACCGCAAGAGAGAAAAGAGCATATTTGTGCAGCTCCTGTGGCCCAACAAGTAGAGCCTTGTGCTAACAATGCAAAGGTCATGGGTTCATATCCCAGGGAGCACAGTGTAACCTTTCCCTGTAATTTAAGCTCCGTGGATAAAAATGTCAAGGAAAATTCATTTATTTTTTACACGCATTTATTTTTTACAATGCATTAATTAGTATTTATTGTTCTACTCATGTACTCCAATTGTAAGCTGGTACAGAATAAGCGATTATGAGAAATGGATGCACTGAAGGATAAATATTTATAGTACAAAAGGGATGGATGCTTCCTGGGATACAAATGATTTTCCTCTGTTTTAATGCTACATACATACAGAAATGATCTCATGTCCTCCTGGTTGACCTCACAGCTATTTCTTGCAGAGGAAAAGACATCCAAGTTTACCTGACGTAGTCGGGCTCGGTGACGACGAAGTTGAGCAGGGCGGAGCAGGCCGTCTCCATGGAAGGGTCACGTGACCCGGCCTTCCCGCCCGCACCCCGCGAAGCTTCCCAGCCACGGCGCAGGAAGTCGGTCAGGAGGGCGGGCACACCCTGGGAGAGCAGGAGCTGCCGCGGAGCCTCTTCAGCGGACAGGTGGCACAGAGCTGGCAGCAGGTACCTGAGGTGGGGAGGGGGTGATGGCATTCACAGCAAGACCGGCAGACGTCTACGTCAGCTCATAGGCTGCTTCGCTGCTGTACTTCTAAGGACACCCAAGACTCACTCTCCAGACTGACTTCTTATGCCCTCAGAATGCAACGCTTTACCTCAGAGCGCCCTCTGCTGTCCATGCCCTGCCCTGGGGGCCGTCAGCCACGGACATCTCCGACATCCAGCTGGCCAAGCCTTCGGCCTGCCCGCCCGCCTCCCGCTGACTCCTGACGTAGCCAATCAGAACGGGCAGGAGGGCCAGGATGTCGTCTTTCAGACACGACGTCTCTTCGGCCAGCCAGGCGCACAGGCAGCGGAACGTGGCGAAGACGAAGGGATCGCCATGGCGGCCTGCGCCGACCTGCAGGAGGAAAGTGCATTTCTGTTTGGTCATACATGTATAGTCGTTCCAGGTGCTCCTTGGTTATTCTCCATTGAACTAATTGACTAGTTACTGCCTTTTACTCTTGCTTCCCCATACCTGCTGCAGGTAGTAGATGATGGCTGAAAAGGCCTCTGCCAAGACCCCCAGCACCTGCTTGCTCTGCTGCAAGCTTAGCCCAGCAATAGCGGTGCGTGGCTCAGACGGCTCGTCACTCTCCTCCTGACAGCAAGCCTGCTCCATTGCAGCCTCCATGATGCGGTAGCAGGCGCCGAGTATGTTTTGCTGGTCCAAGGAGACCTCCATGCTGGGCAGAACCTCCAGACCCATGCGGACCTCCACGCAGGCTCGGTTCACAAGCAGGCAGCACAACTTGGGAGGGCCCACCGGTGCCCAGCCAAACAAGTCCAGCAGACAGGCACTCAGTACCAGAATATCTCCCAGCTGGGCTGGTGTAACCTTCGACTGAATCATGGGCCTAAGCCCAGCCCATAACTGGGAGCCAACAGATTTAAGTCCCTCACTCTCTGGCGCCCCTTCAGGCAGAGGAAGGAACTGTGTCATCAGGGCACACATTTCCAGCCGCCTCTGGTCCGAGGCCTGGGAGAATTCATCGGCGAGACTGGCGAGCAGCGAGGACAGCTCGGCCCGGTGCTTGCTCCATGCTTTGGGCTTGATGGGGCCGGAGAGCAGGTGGCCCAGCAGAGGCAGGCCTCTCTGCCGACTCTGGACCCGCTTCTGGGCCACGGCAGAGCAGAGGGCTGGCACAGCCCCCCGTGCCAGCAGCTTCTCTGGGCCATGGGTTGACCCACACACGGCTCTCAGAACCTGGTAGCAGTCAATGGCCACCGCCTCATCGAGGTCGCTGGCTGGGCTCCGGGACTCCTCACCTTCTGCCTTAATGGGTTCCTCAGAGACATGGTGCTGCTCTGACTCTCTAGGCTTTGACTGGTCTGCACCTGACTTGATCTCATCTTTCAGCACTTGGTTGGGATTCTTTTTGCTGAGGTCTGAAGTGTTTCCGTGGAAAGTCTGGGATGGGTGGCCTTCAGCAGTTCCCTGTGTGGTTTGGGCTGGGCCCTGATCCCGAGGTACACTGCTGAGCCCATTGGCTATCAGTCCCAGCAACAGTGGGACAGTACTGAGGAGCTGGGGGTGAGTTGCCATATCTGGGTCAGTGCTGAGGGCGGCCAGCAGGGCGGCGCCGAGAGACAGCAGCTCCTCAGGGGGCAATCCTGCCCCAGAATTTGACCTCAAGGCTGTGACCAGTAAGCGGGCGGGTAAGCCCAACCCGACCGCCTCAAACACTCGCCGTAGGGTCGCATGGTCCATCTGGTTTGCTGGACACAAGCGTGTGATCTACAGGAAGAGCAAGACGTTCAAAACGCACAGAAGAATCAAAATCAGAAAGACAGGCAATTATGCAGCAGAGAAAATATGCGGCAGAGAAAACATTATTCCATCCATCCAATGGCAAAAACTCTACAACCTGCTTATTTCTCTCCCACACTTTAAATGGATCTACATTAAATATCAGATAATTGCAGATTTACCATTTAAACATTTATCTGTAAAGATAAGAATATAAGGGACTTTTCACTTGAAATCCAGCGCACACAATTTCTGTTACTAGGTTGAGTAAAACAAAAAGGACACTTCTAATGTAATAGACTGGAAAGGGTTAGGGTTACACCAAAATGGGGATCAGTAAAAAGGGTGGGAAACCAGAGCCCAGAATTTTTGTCACTGACTGCGAATTCCCAGGACACCGATTTACATAATTAAATCTCATTTAGATTCTGGGTTCATCTGTATCAGTCTACGAATTAAAGTAAAGGCCTGCATGCAGGAATGGCAAAGGCTGCGGTTTCCTACCAGGAGCAGAGCAGCCAGTGTGTGGCTGTCATTCCTGGCATGAGTGAGGGTGTGCAGACAGCGCTCCAGCACCTCTCGCTGGCCGGGGGAGAGACCTTGGCCCCCGGGGCCACCAGCGCTCTCCTGCTCACTCTCCTCCGCTTGAGGAGAGCCATCCACACCTAAGCTCTGCGTTCCTTCCATTTTCACTTCTGACCTGCAGAAAATCAACAACAGCCAAGGATTGTAAGGTAAACGAGGACAGTACCAAACTGCAACAGCAGAGGAAGCACATGACCTAAACATACCAAAGTATGCAAGACAAGCAGCTCCGGAGGAACGATTTTGATCATTTAACATATTAAACGCAGAGTTAATTTTGCTTCAGGTTATTAACTTTGAGTAAGGGAGCACGAAGCATCGTCCCTTCTACGGATTATGAATAGCGGCCTGGCCAATGGCAGTGCAAGTTTGCCATTAGTCAGAAGACCACTAAGCAAAGTGTTGTCACTTTATGACGTCAATTACCTATACAATGACCTCGGTTTATGCCTCAAAAGTTTTATTAATTCAGAAATTAATGTAATACCTCACAAATCAAATATTCCAATTGGTCAGTTAGCCGTCGAATGTTGCCTTCGTCGTTAAATTAGCCGGCCGTGGTGTTTAATGTGCATGCTGTATGTTCCTGGGGCTTCTTAAGTCGATCTGTGTTATTTTCATCAATTCGTAAATATCAACAGAGTAAAAGTATAGCCATCACTACGCAAAATTCACGCGGTCAACAATGTCATACCTCCCAGTCGTTCCACAAGCACCTTACTCTCATATGGGCTATACAAGGCCCTCGGGAAGCCAATCAGATTTGGCCACGGACCGCAAATAGCCAATAGCGGAAAGGCTTATTGGGAAGTGAAGCCGCCATCTTACTGTGTTAATGAAAAAAATAAAAAAGGTTCATTTTTATGAGTGACAGAAAAGAAGTCATGGCGAGGGGGTGAGTTCCAGCTCCCGTTTTTTGTTTTTTTTTTTGCTGATTGTGAAATATTACCGTCTCTTTAGGCAAACGTTGTAGGTAGTTGAGTCTTGCGGGGCGGAATCGTCTCCGTGTGTTGTTACAGCTGTGTATTCGTTTCCGAGTTAAAGTGCGAATCGTGTAATATTATGACCCAGATAGTCAGTCTAGCGGCGCGTGACGGGTCCTGCGTCACCGGTCCGCAGTGGACCAGAACGAGCTGCAAGGTCCTGGGCCGGTGAGTTGTGATCCGTGGAGATAAATAATGGTAATAAATAGAGCTAATGACAGGTAGATAGAGGAGCTGTCGCGGAGGGTCACGGGGCACGTCACAGCTAGGCACCAGTCAGGCACCAGTCAGGCAGTGCTGGGCGTTTGTTGCAGAACCAGCAGCTGTTACATGCTGGTGTGTTAAAATGGGATGATCTGATATTATACAAAAATGTTCTCTCTGGGTCACGGTCGTGCATGTGGTTGTGGATTAAACAGCACATTTTTAGATGTGACGCGCTGGTATGATTTTACCTTCGGTGGCTCGGTGTAAGCATTATATCTTATTAGAAACTTAATATGAAGACGATGTTGTGTAGATTGCACTTATAATTTACGGTTTTATTCATTCACAACGTCTCGTTTTTTAAGTGGAAACAATTGTACTGTAAAGTGAGATGCTGTCATCACAAATGATTTGACCAGTGCACACAAACACCATTAGTCACCGCTTTAGATTGCAATGTTTTGAATCACCTGAAGCAGGTAATTCGAGGTATTCGGTGTGGATCTATATATATATATATATATATACATTTATGATGCATATCTAAAATATTACGTGTGTGCGCGCGCGTGCAATTTAGGAAAACAACTCTGCGCTGTAGTAATTTTGCATACTTAATGTTTACTTATATTTTTCTCTGCATTTTTCTTAACTGTAGCGTTACTGTAATACAGGATTTGAAGAGTGAGGAAAAGAGAAGTGAGCACTAACATGACCAGAAACTGTGCATTTATGTAACTCGGGGGAGAACAGTGCCGACTTCTTTCCACGGCGGCCAGGGATTGCTGACAAGTGGTTTTGATTACTCCGAAAAAAAGGGGGAGGGGAGCGCTAGAAGAACACAGGAGCTTTGCCAGCCCGGATCTAAATGGGCAGAGCCGGAGATCCAGGTGTCTGTTTCCTTCTCACGGGAATTGAGCTGGGAGCCGGCCAGCGTATGGGGTCGGCGGGCGTAAGTTTGCCATTCTGTCTCAGCCCATGATAATCACATGGTCGATGCCAGCTGACTTTTGCACTGATAACACGCCGCACCACGGGCACCCTGCGAGCTGCGCACTTCTATATCTAGTTTTGCGGGGGAAGCAGCTTCTGCTCCCAGCCGTGTCGCACCGCCCTTTGTCCATTCGGGAGCTTCCTTGGATTTAACGTATCTGAAACCAGACCGACTGGAAACGCGACGCCCGTTTCCCCCACGCGAACCTTGCCCTAACTCTCAAAGCTCTGCTGCTGCGCCACTTCGGCTTGCCGACTCGTTTTTCTTCCTCCCCCTTGCTGACCGAAGTGGAAGCCGTGCCGATCGGAGGCAGGGGGCATCGCTGCGGCCGTGTCCCGGAATGCGCACCTGAAGAATGTCCGACCTGCTGCACAGGTGCGTCGCCGGCGGACTCCGATGTGCCGGCCCATGAAGCACGAGGCAAGAAGTCAGATTACTCTGTTCCATCGAACTATTAAGGGCATTTTTCGCCTTATTAATTTAATTATATACCAGTGGTATTCTTAAAACATTAAAAAAAATCTTTATTAATTATAATGATTATACAGAGTATTTGTAAAGTTTTAATTTCCATAATTCAATATACTAAGGAAGGTGCAGCCTGATGATAGTAAATTACTTAATGTTTGTTTTGGGGGGCATATCACCGACGTCTTGTTCAGAAGTTTTGTTACAGACACCGGTGTTCTGGGAGATGTTGCTGAATTGCATCTCGCACCACCCGGCTTTCCAGTAACGTTCAAGTTATACTTCTGGTTCAGGCGACAAAAACGTCCTTTCATTTCTAGAAAATGATGTCAGAGAATCTGAATTCAAATGCACCGTCTGTCTAGCTGCGCCGATGAGATAAGCTGCTTATCAGTCGCAGGTTATGCTGCAAGGCACCAGGATGTGCTCCCGATCACCTTTAATGTGCAGCTGGTCAAACTAAACTTTATATTCTTGGCAAAGGACGAAACTGCTTACTAGATGGATAAATAATTCATAATTTCCCTCTGAAGGGAAATTTGATTTAGTTTTATTCTTTTAAAGTTAAATGAAACCTCAAATAATTATGTCAGAGAGGTGTGGCCTTAAACTGTAAGGGGGGGGGGTAATTGGTATTTTGTTGCATGGCAATGTTTTCTATCCCAGTCCTGTGGGACCCCCAGACACATTTTCACTCCCTTCCAGCTCCCAACACACCTGCATCAGGTATTCAGGGTTGATTTTGACTGGCTGGGGGCTGGGAAGAAGGAAAATGTGGGCTGTCTGGGGATCCCCAAGGACTGGGCTGGGAAAGGCTGCTCTAGAGAGTAGCTTCAATTAATAAGCTGCATATATAAATAAATGTGCTTGACATTTCAAGTGATCAGCATTAAACCGCCGTGCTGCTTAAAAGCACTTTGTGTATGTCTGCTTCTACCTCTAGTGATGTCAATGGTGGTGCTCTCTGTTATGAATGGTGGTGTTTTTAATTATTCGCACAATGAACACGGGTGCGAACCTGCTCGCTGAATCCCTTCAATGGGAGTGTTCTACAAAGGTGACATTCCACCTAGGTGACATTCCACCGTTCCCGATTTTTTTATTATTATTTTTTCTTGTTCTGTCGTAGCAGGCCTGAAATGCTCGATTGCGAAATCTGGTCCGTAAATTGTAATGTAAATCGATGGTAAGTGTAACAGAAAACTCTTGGATGAAAACGGTTGTAGAGTCTGAAATTTGACAACGTGAAAATTTGATTCCGGAAGACGTGGCGTGGGTTTGGGTTGGGGGAGCTCGGTGTCGCAGGTGGGGATTACGGCGGTCCGTGGCCGTACCGTCCAGCTGGGGGGAGCCCCCGGTGTGGGGGCCTGGGGCTTCTACAGAAGCTGAGCCGCAGACGACGGCTGCAGATGGCGCTCGTTATGGCCGGCCTGCCGTCAAGCCGGCGGCTATGGCTGAACGTCTACCGGAGAACAATGGGCTTGACTGAAGGGGCCCCTCCCGGAGCTCAGCTTACTTTTGAAGATGGGGGATCAGTATAGGAAGGATATTAGCCCCCCCCCCATCACAAATGATCATGAGTGGGTGGACTGCAGAAAAACAAAAGCCGGAGGTGGCCGGAGGTGGCTATTCTACTGCCTGTGTTAAATTTGCGAACACCTCGGCGGGGGCCTGCGTCGTGGTGTTTGTGCTGAGTGTGCTGGCGTGGCACGGAGGCCGCGTTTGTGCTGAGCGTGTGTGTGTGTGTGTGTGTGTGTGTGTGTGTGCGCGCGCTTATGCACCGTGCTCCAGGCAGCGTTGCTCATGCTGTGATGCCTTGTCGTTTCCTTTCTCCGCTGGTTGCCACAATAGCTCAGCCTTTTCAGACTTTCTGAGGGCTTGTCAAATTATTGTGATGACAAAAACAGATAATATGAAGTACATGTATCACTGTGTACTATTCTTTCAGTGTTGTATGCGTTTGAGTAAGCCGGTGTGCTGGTGATCTCTGCCTTTTGTCCGGATTAATTTCTGACTGTTGCCAAACGTCGCTCCCAGGTCATTGATCTCTGAGGAACATGATCAGTGCACAGCAGAATCTGATTGGTCAGAGCCCGTGTCACTCAACGCTGACCCACGGGCTCACCCTCCTGTCGCTGTGGTGTGCGCTTTGCCTGCTCCCGCCCACAGGTAAGTCACGCTCAAGTACTCCATCTCTTTCTGTGATTGGTTCTGTGCTCCAAAGTGCCCTTCCATTTTTATTTCTAATAAAGCTTTCTTTTATTTGTAACCGAGTTTCTTTGTATTATGGTGTGACTATCTATGGCAATCAATTTTTTCTGTCCTATTATTGGGGACATGGTTTTTATTTGAATGCTAGAAGTACAGTGCAAGAGATACTATCATTCATGATGAATGTACAGGCCTTTAAATGGCTGTTCCCCAATTAGTGGCACCTGTTATAGTGCGTGCCCAGTTGGACTTGTGTAAAACAGGAACTGTTGTTGTGAAGGCAGGGTAGCGACACAAAATAGCAGTGATGCATCCCTTGTTTTCCACTGCAGATATGACGTTTTACTGATGTTTGTCAAATTCTGCTTTTCTGCTTCTATTTTTGTAATTCTTTTTGGTTCTCGCCCTCAGAAGTGAGCGCTGGTCTATGCCGGGTGTCCGGCGGAGTTCTGGGGATTCACTGGAGCAGCGTGATTGGGCTCGGATGGCGCCCCTTAGCGGTGGGGAGGGGCAGTGCACGCTGTTGGGAGTCGTGCTGCCTGGACCCTGCC